TATACTTATTATGCAGTTGTAATACAGGAATATTTTTAGCAGAAATGCTGTATTTTTTTTTGTAAAACCAATCATTTTAATCAGTATACTGAAGAGGTTATTTTTTATTTACCGCAGCTTGACATTGCTTTATCGTTTCATATAACCCTACCTCACAAGCAAATAGCAAAAGCTATAAAAATGTAAAATAAATAAGACAAACGTGTTTGTGAGCGGATGTTGTAAACAAACTATTGAACTCGGTATTTATAGCAACGATGACGCGGGCAATGGTCGAGAATTTCGGTCGAAATAGCCCGAAGTGTTCTTCATTAAAGGCCCATTCATTTGTAAATCTCTGGATCCATCAGTAAATATGGAGACATGTTGTTGGTACATACATATCTGCCTCCAGGTAAGGAAATCAGCAAAAACAAAGGGACGGAAAGTTGAGCCAAGAGACAACAAGATACGACATCTCATTCCGCCTTCTTTATGTCCATTGTGTGCTTGTATTGAGTACTTTGTTCGTACTAAACAATGTATCGAACCATGTCCAATTAGAGAGGACTCCAACACTTTTAAAAATCCCTCAGACATTTCATTTCAGAGTGTAACTGTGGTATCGTGCTCACAAAGGTCATTGGTATATGGTTATTAGCATTCACGTGAACTTTACCGTAGAATATTCGTTTACTATTGATAACCTTTTGAAGAAGTCTGATTATATATGTTTTGACGTCTATGTTAAGTAAAATTGTGTGCACAAGATGACTTGATTTGTCAATGAGTCGTCAAACTAAATGTACCAATGTGATACCTTTTCGTCATCCGATATGAAAAGCGTCACGCAGTCTATTCTGGCTATAGTTTTCATCAACTAAGTCGACGTATTGAACGATAGTATCAGTCACAACAATAATAGTAATTTGTATCACCAGTACGCAGTACACAAACTATTTATTTACTCTGTAAATCAATAAAGATCTGTACGCCTTAAGGAGACTACCGCTCAAAAACCCACGCTCACTTGCGATAGCATCACAGGCCAGTGGTCACGTGTATGCTGACCAGTGACCAAGCATGGTCATCTTTTACTTTGAATGGTAATTAACGAAAACAAAGAAATCCCTCCATAAATATAGAGTATGAAGTCGGTGTGCTGTTTGCCTGGTAACTTACCAATTTATTACAACCGAACCCGATGTGTTATCGTTAAGACTTTCATCACTGTGTTAGTGCAATACACGACTATATACAGTACTTAGCTTTTAGAGAGTCTGACTACAATCCAATGTGATGACCGTTTAGTGCCTGAATCACGATTGTAGAACAAACGGAAATGGTAATTAATTTAAGGTCTCGGTTTGATCGGGAACGCCGACTCGTGGAATTAACGGCACTATCTAATGACCTATGTTTCGACAGTTTTATAATCACTGTCCACTTATTATATAGGCAATTCCGTAAATTTTGTATGACAAAACAATTCATGTTGAATATTTGTCGCGATGACAAATAATAATACTAATTGAATAATAGTGTTCTTTTACGTTTCGGTTAATACATTTTTTTATAATTGAAAAAATGGATACTTTTCTTTTTTATTCAAGTGGGGGTAATAATGTCACGAGATTTGGGGATGTACATAGCTTGTAAATAGGTTTACATATACTGTAAATAACTAAGTTTACAATGGCATGTGGTGTGATTCTATGCACGCAGATACTGTCACGGTTTTGGAGGATATACATAGTTTATCACTAAATTTACAGTTTGTACATGTGGTGTCGGGACATGGACGCAGTTTTGTATAACATATTTAGAATGTAACCAGGTTTAAAGATATTCATAGTTTTGCTTTCGTGAATGATTTTTTTTTTTATTAAACTTTATAATGTAATGGGATGTTAGCATATATAGATAGGTTTATATTTAATGTTATATTGCCTTGTTGTATAATGATGAACATGGTTTTGTATGAAACTTTATGATATAATGGGAGATGAAGAGATATATATAGGTTTATATTTAATGTTACATTTCCTTGTTGCATATGTGGATATTTTTTTATTATAACACTTTATGATATAATGTGATGTGAGGAGATATGGTTCATATTTAATGTTATATTTCCTTGTTGCATATGTGGATATTTTTTATTATAACACTTTATGATATAATGTGATGTGAGGAGATATAGATAGGTTCATATTTAATGTTATATTTCCTTGTTGTATATGTGGATATTTTTTATTATAACACTTTATGATATAATGTGATGTGAGGAGATATAGATAGGTTCATATTTAATGTTATATTTCCTTGTTGTATATGTGGATATTTTTTATTATAACACTTTATGATATAATGTGATGTGAGGAGATATAGATAGGTTCATATTTAATGTTATATTTCCTTGTTGTATATGTGGATATTTTTTATTATAACACTTTATGATATAATGTGATGTGAGGAGATATAGATAGGTTCATATTTAATGTTATATTTCCTTGTTGTATATGTGGATATTTTTTATTATAACACTTTATGATATAATGTGATGTGAGGAGATATAGATAGGTTCATATTTAATGTTATATTTCCTTGTTGTATATGTGGATATTTTTTATTATAACACTTTATGATATAATGTGATGTGAGGAGATATAGATAGGTTCATATTTAATGTTATATTTCCTTGTTGTATATGTGGATATTTTTTATTATAACACTTTATGATATAATGCGATGTTAGGATATATAGATAGGTTCATATTTAATGTTATATTTCCTTGTTGCATATGTGGATATTTTTTATTATAACACTTTATGATATAATGTGATGTGAGGAGATATAGATAGGTTCATATTTAATGTTATATTTCCTTGTTGTATATGTGGATATTTTTTATTATAACACTTTATGATATAATGCGATGTTAGGATATATAGATAGGTTCATATTTAATGTTATATTTCCTTGTTGCATATGTGGATATTTTTTATTATAACACTTTATGATATAATGTGATGTGAGGAGATATAGATAGGTTCATATTTAATGTTATATTTCCTTGTTGTATATGTGGATATTTTTTATTATAACACTTTATGATATAATGTGATGTGAGGATATATAGATAGGTTCATATTTAATGTTATATTTCCTTGTTGCATATGTGGATATTTTTTATTATAACACTTTATGATATAATGTGATGTGAGGAGATATAGATAGGTTCATATTTAATGTTATATTTCCTTGTTGTATATGTGGATATTTTTTATTATAAAACTTTATGATATAATGTGATGTGAGGATATATATATAGGTTCATATTTAATGTTATATTTCCTTGTTGCATATGTGGATATTTTTTATTATAACACTTTATGATATAATGTGATGTGAGGAGATATGGTTCATATTCAATGTTCTATTTCCTTGTTGTATATGCTCACTCCATACTTTTACCTAGCTTGTGTTTTTTAAGAAGGAATTCCTGCAGATAATGTTTTAGATGTGACGAATAGTTTTATACTTTAACTTGTCAGGATCTGCATATGTGGTATTGTTATTATTTATTTATACTGTATATGTCATTGTATGTATCATGTCCATGTCCTTTATAAATTTGGTATTACAGGGCCATATTGTAAATAAGATGTAAGATCTAAATATGTAACCTGTCTAAAAATTATATTAAGTGTTTGTATCAATGTATGCTACAGAGTAGCTGTTAGTCACGAAACTATAACCGCGCAGGCACGGGGTCAATCCTTTTGCCCATTGTGACCCGCGGTCATTCAAACTATGATTTTATCGTTGGAAGAGCGACAGACGAAGTCATAAACATGTTCATTAGGTCCAGCATTGATGACCGAAAATAAAAACACATCGCCCCGGACATTGTCAGCGTTACACTGGTCAGTCGACACACATCTGTCAATCATTTTACATGACTGGTCAGCACATACCAGGATGTCATCAGAAAACGTCAGTATCCCGGAACACGACGAGGACAACCTTTTACTCTCGCAAAACTTTGTAAAGTGGTGATTTGACAAATTTCGCGAATATAGACCTGTTTTAATGTTTCGTTCAGTCCTAGGAGTTCTGGTAGCTGTATGTGGTGCCCGTCCACGTTAAGCTAGTAGACCGTGGTATTGGCGGGATATTGTCCACCACACGTGTTGACCGATGTGTTCAATGGTGATGTACGGCTGATCACTGCTGTTTGTTCTGATGACTGATTGTTATACGAGTGTGTTGGTATATTGATTGTATGATCTACAATGTTATCAATACGTCGTGTGTGAATGTTAGGCCGTGGTTGGTTTTTTTCAGAGTGGACTCGGTGCGGTGAGAACTACCACATAGTGACCCTACTCTTATATCCAGAAGACTGGCATTTTAGCCAAATACAACAGTGGAGACAGTTGTTTCAAACCAACAAAATACAACAGTGGAGACAGTTGTTTCAAAACTAACAAAATACAACAGTGGAGACAGTTGTTTCAAAACTAACAAAATACAAATCAAAATTATTAAAGGGAATTATTGATACAACACGGATACAGCTCTCAGTGTTCACACGAAGACATCACATCTTGACTGTGTGAAAAGTTTATCACAACCAGCAAGGACTGCTATTTGTACATTGTATTTATGTCACGTGGATTAAAGGTTTAATTCCGAGGGACCTGGTTTCAGCACGTGTAAACAGATGAATTTAAAATAAAACCTCCTTGTTTAACTAAACAACGGAGTTTATTATAAAAATTGATGTTGAGACGGCATTATCGATGTTTTTGTGACGTCATTAGCCGAGTATACTAAGTTAAATTGCCGATTTCGGTTTATATTAAATTACCTGTGTAAACGTGACAGTTCGTCTCTGAACAGTTGTTGAAATAACAAGAACGCTAGTATCAAATAAGATATTTTGATGAGAGTAAACACTATCTGAAGATAGTCCTAGGTAGTGTTTGACATCCAATATTCGTCCGATTTCAAGATGAAGGAGTACGACGATGCTAAAGAGGGAACGTTTGAGATTGATGCCGAGTCTGACTGGACCAAACATCTGAGTGACGACCTCATCTTCAAGTCTAGCGGCGTAAGTACTAGATATAACACAGGAATCAATGAGTTATTAAAACAAGTTAAAATAAGTTAATCTTTTAAATTTGCATTTTATTCACGAAGTCTCATATGTAACGTTGATCCTATCCCCACGCTTTCCCCGACTGATACAAAATATATATGTAACGTTGATCCTATCCCCACGCTTTCCCCGACTGATGCAAAATGCACATGTAACGTTGATCCTATCCTCACGCTTTTCCCGACTGATACAAAATGCATATGTAACGTTGATCCTATCCCCACGCTTTTCCCGACTGATACAAAATGCATATGTAACGTTGATTCTATCCCCACGCTTTCCCCGACTGATGCAAAATGCATATGTAACGTTGATCCTATCCCCACGCTTTCCCCGAGTGATACAAAATGCCCTATTAGTTCATTCACAAAATTTAGGGTGTAATTAATATAAACAAAAAATCTCACTTTTCACTAATAAAACTTTGTAATCAGAAATTTTAGCAAGAACAGATCATGGACATACGGTAATGTTTTAGATGTAGTGAATACTTTGTTGTAAGGGATTGCACTATTGTTACCAAGTCCTATTCTGTTATTTAACAATATATTCAGCTCTGGTCATTGTTTGTGGGGCCATTAAGAAATTTTACCAGGTTACCAGGTGGTAGTGAAGTATGTCAATAATTACCGAAGCTTATGTCTCATGCATGTTGTAACCAACGTAAGACTGTCTTTTTTTACTTTTGTTCTAAATGAAAGACTTCTATATTTTTAAAGAAAATGTACACTACATTTCTGACCATCGTTATTATTTTAACAATATGGCGTCTGCTGTTCACGTTATTTTTGTAATACAACCAACACCAACCACTTTCATACCGCGACCATCCCTCAACCAACACCAACCACCCTCATACCGCGACCACCCCCAACCAACACCAACCACCCTCATACCGAGACCATCCCCAACCAACATCAACCACCCTCATACCGCGACCATCCCTCAACCAACACCAACCACCCTCATACCGCGACCATCCCTAACCAACACTAACCATATTTATATATAGTTATATTTGTATATCTTCTTGCAGAAATGTTCGTTACGACATTACATTGATAACGGTAGGTGATTCTGTCGTAAATCAATTGTGACGTAATGATGGCCTCCGGTCAAGTCGCGAAGATAGCACCTGTGTCTGGTCAAGTACATTTACTTGCAATGCGTTACAAGATTTATTACATGTCTCCTCAATATTTTCATTGAATTCCAACAATCATTATTGCGTAGAGACACGGGCTATCTACACTGACAGCGGGGACCGTTTCGATGTGTGGATATGATTGTATCTACATTGAAGGCGGGACCTTCTCTACTGCTAGACTAGATATTATCTACATACATGTGAAAAGAATAGTGTCTTTCATGTGTAGCGTACACACTACAGCTGTGTCGTAGACATGTACACCGCTTATTTTCGCTCTGATATTATGACGAAAGACGTTTTGTATCTAACATGTCCAACTGTTGCATGTTCTACCATATTTGACAGGTAACGACGCTGTTCCCACGGTACGACATGTGTATACACAGGTATTCTGATAGTACACCTGACACTGACTGCAACATATCTCACTAGTACATAAAACGTACTGGTAATTGATTACGCTCACCTGTACGGGAACACGCCCATCAGAAAGCAGTACTAATAAAGCGCGAAAAATACCGAAATAGACGTAACCTAGCAACTGGAATTTATTCAGACACAGTTAACAGGAAATCCTTATCAGGTTCTGACAAATATTGTGTAACAAGCGGTTTACAGGCATCTTTCCATTTTGATATAATTCAACATTTGATTTCGAAACAAATTAAACATTGTTAATCATTATTTTTCCCTTTAAATATTGCTGATGAGTCCTTAACGGGCCAACTGGCTATATGGTGTAGTAAAGTGGTAACTTCTATATTTAGGTTTAAGTAGGTGCTTCCTTCCTATATATTTCTAGTTAAGAGCTGCGGACATAACAGATTTAATAAAAATATCTGATAAGCTATGCTTTTTAAATGTTTAAAGTTGCATAAGCCTAAGATAATGTAACATGGTTTATTTATGAAAGGAGAATAAGGAATTAAGAATCGATGTTAAGACCTTAAATAATTGAGAAACTATAAAAATGGTATTACAATGAATCTCGTCAATTAATGATTTGTATGCCCTCGGGGGTCTTCTGTGATATTTGGCCCTTCAGCACGACACCTACAAGATACGATTGACTTGCTTGTACATTGGTTATTTAGTTTTACAATTATTTCTTAGACATTTGCTGAGGAAATACATACATATTTTCCCCTTTGCAACTCAATGCTATTTTCAAGTGTCATGGTAAGGTGCGTAATTTGTTTTTTGATTAATAATCTAAATGTTCATTAATATGTCATCAATATATAAATTGTATTTTTCTCGAGGGTAGAACATGTTATCAGTAAATCTCTCATGCTTAACTTTTATATAAACCTCAGTTTAAACTAAATGTGTATAACGATCATTTTTCGGTTTAATACTGTACGGAGGGTTATATACTGTAGTTAGAAGCTAACATTTGAGTGTACATCAATACATATTACGCAGTTCTTAGATACGGAATAAATATCAATATACAGAGATTGTCGACCCCGGTAATGTCTTCATGTGCAATGACACAAATATGTTATTAAGTTTGTCAGAGCTCGGAAAACACTTCCTGTACAACTACAGAAATGTATTATTTAGATCGTCAGGTCCCGGTCCCACTTCCTATACAATTATATAAATATATTAATGAGATCATCAGGGCCCGGTCCCACTTCCTAAACAATTATACAAATATATCATTGAGATCGTCAGGTCCCGGTCCCACTTCCTGTACAATTATATAAATATATTAATGAGATCATCAGGGCCCGGTCCCACTTCCTGAACAATTATACAAATATATCATTGAGATCGTCAGGTCCCGGTCCCACTTCCTGTACAATTATATAATTATATTAATGAGATCATCAGGGCCCGGTCCCACTTCCTGTACAGTTATATAAATATATTAATGAGATCATCAGGGCCCGGTCCCACTTCCTATACAATTATATAGATATATCAATGAGATCATCAGGGCCCGGTCCCACTTCCTGAACAATTATACAAATATATCATTGAGATCGTCAGGGCCCGGAAAACACTTCCTGTACAATAATTACACAACTGTATTATCGAGACCGTCAGGGCCCAGACAACACTTCCTGTACAATTACACAAAACCAATATATTATTGAGATCATCAGGGCCCGGTCCCACTTCCTGTACAATTATATGAATATATTAATGAGATCATCAGGGCCCGGTCCCACTTCCTGTACAATTATACTGATATATAATTGAGATCATTAGGGCCCAGAAACGACTTCCTGTTCAATTATACAAATACATTTTTGAGGTCGTCGGGTCCCGGAGACCGTTTCCTGTACAATTATATAAATATATTATTGAGATCATTAGGGTCCGGATACCGCTTCCTGTACAATAATACAGATATATTTTTGAGGTCGTCGGGGCCCGGAGACCGTTTCCTGCACAATTATACAGATATTTTATTGATATCATCACGGTCCGAAGACCGTTTCCTGTACAATTATACAAGTATATGATTGGGATCGTCGGGGCCCGGAGACCACTACTTATACAATTATACAATGTACAAATATATTATTTGAGATCATCAGGGCCCGGATACCGCTTCCTGCACAATTATATATATATGATATTGAAAGAAGCTTTTAGTTCACTCGCCCATCTATAAATATACATGTACACTAAAGTAATCTTCTATTATAATTTCGGGGTTTCTTTCATTATCATTACCTGATTAATAGAGATTTGTTATTTGTCTTGGCGATGGATAGTTAGGACCAATGATCAGTTCGAGACGGACGGAATGCTCATTCTTCTGCATCTACATACAAACTGTTCAAATGAAGCGAGTTGTTTCAAAGTATTTCTACTGACTGTTATAATCTTCTACATGTAATACAAAGTATTTCTACTGACTGTTATAATCTTCTACATGTAATACAAAGTATTTCTACTGACTGTTATAATCTATACTTCTACATGTAATACAAAGTATTTCTACTGACTGTTATAATCTATACTTCTACATGTAATACAAAGTATTTCTACTGACTGTTATAATCTATACTTCTACATGTAATACAAAGTATTTCTACTGACTGTTATAATCTATACTTCTACATGTAATACAAAGTATTTCTACTGACTGTTATAATCTATACTTCTACATGTAATACAAAGTATTTCTACTGACTGTTATAATCTATACTTCTACATGTAATACAAAGTATTTCTACTGACTGTTATAATCTATACTTCTACATGTAATACAAAGTATTTCTACTGACTGTTATAATCTATACTTCTACATGTAATACAAAGTATTTCTACTGACTGTTATAATCTATACTTCTACATGTAATACAAAGTATTTCTACTGACTGTTATAATCTATACTTCTACATGTAATACAAAGTATTTCTACTGACTGTTATAATCTATACTTCTACATGTAATACAAAGTATTTCTACTGACTGTTATAATCTATACTTCTACATGTAATACAAAGTATTTCTACTGACTGTTATAATCTATACTTCTACATGTAATACAAAGTATTTCTACTGACTGTTATAATCTATACTTCTACATGTAATACAAAGTATTTCTACTGACTGTTATAATCTATACTTCTACATGTAATACAAAGTATTTCTACTGACTGTTATAATCTATACTTCTACATGTAATACAAAGTATTTCTACTGACTGTTATAATCTATACTTCTACATGTAATACAAAGTATTTCTACTGACTGTTATAATCTATACTTCTACATGTAATACAAAGTATTTCTACTGACTGTTATAATCTATACTTCTACATGTAATACAAAGTATTTCTACTGACTGTTATAATCTATACTTCTACATGTAATACAAAGTATTTCTACTGACTGTTATAATCTATACTTCTACATGTAATACAAAGTATTTCTACTGACTGTTATAATCTATACTTCTACATGTAATACAAAGTATTTCTACTGACTGTTATAATCTATACTTCTACATGTAATACAAAGTATTTCTACTGACTGTTATAATCTATACTTCTACATGTAATACAAAGTATTTCTACTGACTGTTATAATCTATACTTCTACATGTAATACAAAGTATTTCTACTGACTGTTATAATCTATACTTCTACATGTAATACAAAGTATTTCTACTGACTGTTATAATCTATACTTCTACATGTAATACAAAGTATTTCTACTGACTGTTATAATCTATACTTCTACATGTAATACAAAGTATTTCTACTGACTGTTATAATCTATACTTCTACATGTAATACAAAGTATTTCTACTGACTGTTATAATCTATACTTCTACATGTAATACAAAGTATTTCTACTGACTGTTATAATCTATACTTCTACATGTAATACAAAGTATTTCTACTGACTGTTATAATCTATACTTCTACATGTAATACAAAGTATTTCTACTGACTGTTATAATCTATACTTCTACATGTAATACAAAGTATTTCTACTGACTGTTATAATCTATACTTCTACATGTAATACAAAGTACTTCTACCGACTGTTATAATCTATACTTCTACAGGTAATACAAAGTATTTCTACTGACTGTTATAATCTATACTTCAACATGAAATACAAAGTATTTCTACCGACTGTTATAATCTATACTTCTACATGTAATACAAAGTATTTCTACTGACCGTTATAATCTTCTACATGTAATACAGATGTAGTGCTTTCTTTCCAGCCTCAGCGCCGGTTTGATGATGAACTTGGCGGCTTTACTCTAACACCTGTCATTCTCAAGGAGAGGATTTATGACCATAGCAGTCTAAACGACCCAGAGCTTTACGACGGCTTCTCCGGGTACGGATTGTCCACGAGTAGCTCTCGGTCGTTTCTCGGAAAGCCACGGAAAGACCGAGGTGATCAGGGCCGCATCGGACTTATCTTAGTGCTACTGATTGGGGCCCTGCTCATCTCATTCGGCGTCGGCCTCCTCGTCCATTACTGGCTAATGATGCAAGGTAAACTTCAAAACCATATTATGATTCCAGCATCGTCAACAGGGCCAGCGTCAAACGACAGTAATCAGAATCATAAAACCAGTGTCTGGTTTGTTTGTATAGCGAAATTATTGCATTGTTTTTAAATAACAGCTATTTTCTTCTCAGATAAAATGCCTGAATTCATATTTGCATCGTTTATCTTGGGAAAATGAAACTTGATGCTGAACATGATGGTTTTTGTTCGAGCCCAACTGCCTTCAGATTGAAAAAATAAACTGTTGTGCAAGGTTCATTTTATGTAAACAGGCTACATGAATATCATCTGCACTGGTGATACAACAAGAATAGAAAACATACACTGTTGAAATTATTTAAGACTACTATATATTTATACCAACATGATTCTTTATATGTCTACTGTTTATGAGAATTATTGATAAATTTTCATATATTTTATATAATTTCCTTTGCAGAAGACCATCCAATCCAAGGTAAGTTTGCAGTTCATCTCAGTTTAGCATTTAACGTTCAGAACATTCACTCATTCGATTTGACACGTCTGGCGAGTATACATATGTTAGATAAAAGTCTACTATGTTTGTCCTTACGGTGTGCATTGTTATTAAATTGAGTTTAAGTACATTCACTTTCCCATCAACTATTGGTAAACTGGCACTGTTTGACACCCTGCTGAGAAAAGAAAATATCTGCTGCTGCCAATTGCATGTTTAAAAGGCAGCTATTGTGGGAACCCTCTGAATAATTTGGGTTTTGATTTTGTACCCCTCCATTGGGCACACAAAAGTGACCAAAATATGTCTTCTGTCCCAATTTCAACATTTATGATCTGTATAGCCTCTCTCTACTTCCTTACAACCTTCTGGTGTCCTAGCGCTTTGCTTGGCAATACACCAATTGTGGCCATAGTGTTAAACGTTGCCAAAGTGCAGAAGGCAATGGGCTCTATCCCATCATACGAAATTCATTAAAATGGTAGTGACCCTTCCTGCTACACATTCAGCATTAAGGGAATTTGCAACAACTTGTTCACACGATGTCAGTATAATGTGACCGGGAGGTTCACCCGATGTCAGTATAATGTGGCCGGGATGTTCACCCGATGTCAGTATAATGACACCGGGAGGTTCACCCGATGTCCGTATAGTATGACCGGGAGGTTCGCCCGATGTCAGTATTATGTGACCGGGAGGTTCACCCGATGTCGGTATAATTTGATCGGGAGGTTCACCCGATGTCCGTATAGTGTGACCGGGAGGTTCACCCGATGTCTGTATAATGTGGCCGGGAGGTTCACCCGATGTCAGTATCATGAGACCGGGAGGTTCACCCGATGTCAGTATCATGAGACCGGGAGGTTCACCCGATGTCAGTATTATGTGACCGGGAGGTTCACCCGATGTCGGTATAATTTGATCGGGAGGTTCACCCGATGTCCGTATAATATGAATGGAAGGTTCACCCGATGGCCGTATAATGTGACCGGGAGGTTCAACCGATGTCCGTATAATGTGACCGGGAGGGTCACCCGATGTCAGTATAATGTGACTAGGAGGTTCACCCGATGTCCGTATAATGTGACCAGGATCATACGAAATTCATTAAAATGGTAGTGGCCCTTCCTACTACACATTCAGCATTAAGGGAATTTACAACAACTTGTTCACACGATGTCAGTATAATGTGACCGGGATGTTCACCCGATGTCAGTATAATGTGGCCGGGATGTTCACCCGATGTCAGTATAATGTGACCGTGATGTTCACCCGATGTCAGTATAATGAGACCGGGAGGTTCACCCGATGTCCGTATAATGTGACCGGGAGGTTCACCCGATGTCCGTATAGTATGACCGGGAGGTTCGACCGATGTCAGTATAATGTGACCGGGAGGTTCACCCGATGTCAGTATAATGAGACCGGGAGGTTCACCCGATGTCCGTATAATGTGATCGGGAGGTTCACCCGATGTCAGTATAATGAGACCGGGAGGTTCACCCGATGTCCGTATAATGTGACTGGGAGGTTCACCCGATGTCCGTATAATGTGACCGGGCAGTTCACCCGATTTCCGTATAATGTGACCGGGAGGATCACCCGATGTCCGTATAGTATGACCGGGAGGTTCGCCCGATGTCAGTATAATGTGACCGGGAGGTTCATCCGATGTTCGTATAATGTGACCGGGAGGTTCACCCGATGTACGTATAATGTGACCGGGAGGTTCACCCGATGTCCGTATAATGTGACCGGGAGGTTCACCCGATTTCCGTATAATGTGACCGGGAGGTTCACTCGATGTCAGTATAATGTGACCGGGAGGTTCACCCGATGTCCGTATAATATTACCGGGAGGTTCACCCGATGTCCGTATAATGTGACCGGGAGGTTCACCCGATGTCAGTATAATATGACCGGGAGGTTCACCCGATGTCAATATAATGAAACCGGGAGGTTCACCCAATGTCAGTATAATGTGAATGGGAGGTTCACCCGATGTTTGTATAATGTGACCGGGAGGTTCACCCGATGTCAGTATAATGTGAAGGGGAGGTTCACCCGATTTCCGTATTATGTGACCGGGGGGTTCACCCGATGTCAGTATAATGTGATGTCAGTATCATGAGCCCGGGAGGTTTACCCGATTTCCGTATTATGTGACCGGGAGGATCACCCGATGTCAGTATCATGAGACCGGGAGGTTGGCCCGATGTCAGTATAATGAGACCGGGAGGTTTACCCGATGTCCGTATAATGTGACCGGGAGGTTCATCCGATGTCAGTATCATGAGACCGGGAGGTTTACCCGATGTCCGTATTATGTGACCGGGAGGTTCACCCGATGTCAGTATAATGTGACCGGGAGGTTCACCCGATGTCAGTATAATGTGACCGGGAGGTTCACCCGATGTC